AATATGGCATCCAACGGTTTCAGGAGATTAGCTTATTTCATTTTATCCTTCTTCTAGTTTTATCATTCCTTTCACCTTCAAAAATAAATACAAGTTTTTTTTTTGTTTCTTTCGTTCTTTGTTAAAACCACCAAAACATTGTTCTACATATCATCGCATTTGGATTAGTGAAGAGTCAAGCTAAGGAGCAGAGAAAATTTCTCTCTCTGTCTATGTCTCTCTCTCTCCTTCTCTCAGTATATATATATATATATATATATATATATATATATATATATATATATACACTCAGTGACGACAATATAAATAAAAGGTAAGAGAAAGATTTTTCTTTACCAACACGTTTCGTTCCGTTCATAAACTCTCTCATTTGACGAAACGCGCTGTTGAAGAAAAGTTTTCCTTTTGTCTTACACACACACACACACACACACACACACACACACACACACAACAAATATATATATATATATGTATAAAATATCGCACATTGTGTGCTGGTTCTAATAAGATAATGCTCGATGAATACGATGTATACATCGAGCTATAATATATATTAATAATAAATGAATGTCCGGTGAGAAAAAAATATATATATATATATATATATATATATATATATATATATATATGTGTATATATATATATATAGTGTGTGTGTGTTTATATAGTCAGTTGCTTTATATCTATCTATTTATCTTGATATGTCAATTTGATTTTGTTTCATGTATCTATATATCTGGTCTAAGTTGAGAATGTTGAAAATAATGACGGATATTAATCACGTTCCATTTACTCATAATATTTTCCGACATGTCTATTTCTCATACATCTGGTTAAAGTGAAAGTAAATTTTCCCCCTCGATTCAAATCGAGTATTAGCCTGACTTAACAGAAATCTAACAAGAGACCTTTGGAGGAAAATAGATTTTCAAAGGTTACTAGAATCTATTTTCATATCTGGAGCGGTCATCTATCTATCTATCAAAAATTTTATTTTAATCATTTCTAATGTTTCTTCTATTAAGGAACAACAAATAGTAGAGTCAAATAGTCTGAATATTATAAATCTAAAATTTAAATTATAAATAGAACTCAAAAAGAAATATTGAAATTTAATTATTATCAAATACATGATTTAATAATTTTAATTAAACAATATCTGTTTATATTTCTTAGATTAGGTATTGTATTTATTTACAGTATTTACATTGTTCGGACTATTGTCCTAATCTTTGTTGTCATATTTACGACGTTTCGAATTTATACACTGCGGCCTTCGTCAGTTGATTAGAATTTTGAACCGAATACTTTTTTTCAACCACGGGGATAGATGTCCAGATATTTAAATTTCAGTTATTTCCCTTTAATCTCTCCAAGATATTTGTTCACAACTACTGTTGTCAGATATTGAACTCACAACTCTTTGGGTTAAGTCTCTGGATTATCAACGCTTTTATACTCTGGGCCATGTGTCCTTGAGGACGAAATAAAGGGTTCGATTCTAAATTCCAATCATCTCAAGAAGGCCAGAGCGTACAACGGCTAAAACATCGTGAATATGACAACAAAGATGAGAACAATAGTCAGAACAATGTAAATTCTGTAATTAATTGAACATGTCCGAACTTTTATCTATTACAAAATTAATTTTACGTCATTAACAGAAATATTTTTAAAGAATTTATCTCATAATAAAAATAACGTTTCCTCATAGAGAAAAAGAAAATTGGATTTGAAAATAAACTTAATTCATGGGACTTGCATGAAGCATCAAGAAACGAACCCAAATCTCTTCATGTGGCGAAAGTCAGTTCAGATATCGACTTTCAAACCCTTAGCAATCTCTTCCATCGAAATATTTGCTTTATTCTCCACGATGTCAAACAGAGCCTCTTCATCGACGTCAGAAGGTCGCCGGGAGAGTAGGTGATCGTTGAGGTTAAAATCACTCTGAAATATGTCAAACCACTTTTTGGGCGTCCGAAGAGTTGGTCCACGATCCAAATAATCCTGAATGTTTCTGTGTCGTAGTTCCAATGTTTGCACCTTTCCAAAATCCATGGAGCATAATATAGCGAAAGTGCAACTTTTTTTATCCCCCGCCACATTTAAGGCATGAATTTGTGGACGAAACGTCAACATTCAACAAAGTCTAACTCGCAACTGAACGATGCAAGATTTCAGTCTAGAACACGCCAGAAATAGGCACCAGAATAAACACCAGAGTCAAGCTGTGGTCATTTTATAATAATGAAAATCGGGAACAAACTTTTACAATGATCTGATATATATATATATATATATATATATATATATATATAGATAGATAGATAGATAGATAATATTAGTGGTAAATATACGCATACATATATATTTGTATAAAAAATAATTCCTAGAGGATAGAATCCAGGTCAAAGTAAGGATATAATAAAAAGCTTAAAACTAATATTCCATGGTCATAATTTATTCCATTGGAATCGTAAATACGATCCAATTCATCAGACCTACGAATTCAAAAAGGTCTGATGAATTGGATTGTATTTACGATTCCAATGGAATAAATTATGGCCATACATTTTATTATATATATATATACATATATATATATATATATATATATATATATATATATATATATATATGTGTGTGTGTGTGTGTGTGACTTCAAACTTTACTTTTAGTGGATGCCTGTATTTGAGTAAACCCATCGTTTTATTTTAAACAATATTTATTTCGTCTAGCGGCCAACACAACGAGAAACCTTACTAAGAAAATTAACCCCTCCGGCAAGATTCGAAACCTTGATTAGAAACTTGATTGGTTGTGAAGCTCTCCGTAGCTGAGCGGTTGTATCCTACTAGAGGGAGCAATTTCTTTAATAAGCAAGTCGATCGGTAAATAATGTCTGAAATAAAACGAAGATATAGTCAAAAACGGTTATCTACGAAAAATTATGTATTATGTAGACTATTTACATTATTCGGACTATTGTCCTCATCTTTATTGCCGTATTTATCACAATGTTTCGGCCGTTGTACGCTCCGGCCTTCTTCATAGACAAAGAACATCACTGGAAAATAAGTAAACTTAAGGAATCAGCACATATACTAGGCCACAAAAATCTCCTAAGCCAACCATAGAAATGAATACAATATGGGAACAAGCAATAAGGAGTGCCAGAGAAAGATGACAATAACAACTCTGGTAAAATATGGTTGCTGAAGACATTAGGTTTATAATACACAGAATTTCACACACAGATGTTCTCAAGGACACATGGCACAGTGAATAAAGGTGTTAGTTAAATTCAATGTCTGTGTTCAATACCTAGTTAAGGCGGTGGAGAACTTAGAGACGGGAATTAACTGATAAATGTCATCAATTAAATATGGCATGTGGAACTAGAACAGAACTAGAACTACCGCAGCAAGTAAAATAAAGGATTCACTTCGACATTCCGGGGCGTACAACGGCCGAAACGTTGTGATAAATATGGCAACAATAGTTCGAATAATGTAAATAGAGCTCTGAGATATATACTGAAAAAAGAATGGCATTAATTATCAAACGTATACTTTGAGAAACTTTGGAAAATGATGTCAAAAAATTGTGCTGTAGTAATCAAGGCCAAAGGAGAATATTTTGACGAGATCAAAATTTAATTATACAATGTTTTTTTTCTCTTTTTCTCATAATAAGATTTCTTATAAAAATCACTTTTTTAACCATGCATAATAATGTATAACCATGTATAAAATTATTGGTAATCCGTATGGAATTTCCAAGACAATATAGATCTGTTGAGAACTCTACGTCAAAAACAGCAAAAAATTAATGTATAATGACAAACAAACACTTAAAAACCAAAGGTGATATTTATTTAATTGAAATCTTTAACTTGGTTTAAAGGTCTGAAGATTTGAAGCCGTTTTTATATCGACTTCAATGAAATAAATTTCACCTATGGTTTTTAAGTGTTTGCTTCTCATTATATATATATATATATATATATATTGTAGGTTTTGTGCATGTCTGCAAAATATATATGAATATTAAATACGTTTTTTTTGTCTATCTGTATGTGTTTGCAAATATGACAGAAAATTATGATTTCAAATAAATGTAGTTTTATCACTGTTGTGTCTTTCCCCTTTAGCTCGTCTTTAAAAATTACGAATAGTAATCAGATGAGCTCCATTCTTTAGTTCCACTGATTCACATCTTTACACGTTTTGCCGCCTTAACGGCGTCGAATCATCTTCATTTCCCCCACGTTTCAAATGTAAGAAAAAGTCCCCCTCAGTATTTTCCCACGAGCTACCACTTCGTAGAACTGACTCCTGTGTACTTGCTTTTCTGAATAATTCAATCTCGGCCCCTTTATACCACGGGTTAATTTTTATATTTCCTCATATTTTTTACTTTGTACCACCTTCTCCTACTATACATAGTATTCACCGCATTCATCATTTTGCTTTTGACTATAATCCTTAAGTGGCTTTGGTAGCTTGTATTGAGTGAAGTTTATTAAGAAAGCCTGTTTATTTGCCCTGAATAGCAGGATTCGAAATCTTATTTGTGTTTGAAGATTCGCTACTGACAAATTGCTGAAATATTATTATTATTATTATTTTGAGGTGGTTTTATTTTAGATTTTTGTTTTGTCATTTTTTTGAATCTCATTACTCAGATCATTTTTCTTGAATGATCAATAAGTAAGCAGCATGGTCAGAGCTTGAAACTGCGTCTCTTATCCTCGAAAACCTGTCTCAACATGTCATTTCAAATACCGTCAGAAGCTTATTGTTTTTATTTCTCATGCACGCTAGTTGCGAAATAGTTGTGGTATATCAAAAAAAAAAAAAAAAAAAAAAAAGGAGGAAAAAAGAAGGAAAGCATGAAAAAAGGACCTGTGTGTTGCAATAAAAAAACAAACATAAGACAAAGGTAAAAACTATCAAAGGAAAAAAAGAATAAAACCTGTTTTTATAGATAACTTAATATAACTTTATAGCAACTTGAATGAGAATGTTTCTTACCTGGCTGAGGAACATAATATTGATGCTTCTCCATCGGCTGCAGACTGGCTTCTTTCTGAGAAAAGGAATGAGGTACTTGAATAAAACGTATTCACCCACCATTAGGAGAACGGAGAGGGTCATAGCAACTATTAGCAGAACGAAGAGGCCGGCAGTGTGTTGAGGTCCATATTTGATTTCAAGTGTGTGCCCCCACTGGGGATCGCAGCCCTTTCGTAGAAAATATTTCTTGGTTAGTTCTTCGATATAACCACTTGATGTATACGCCAAAATCTTGTCTGATAAGGGATCCTTGTTGAATATGAAATAGAAAAACAGCAAATCAGAGAGAGAGAGAGAGAGAGAGAGAGAGAGAGAGAGGAATGTGAAGGGATACAAAGTGAGAGATGGGAGAAAGACATAGAAGAGAGACAGGGAAGTTATAGAGGAGAAAACGGGGATGGAAAGAGAAGGGAGAGATAGAACGAGAGAGGTATTAGTAAAGGGACAGAAAAAGAGATAAGGCAATAGAAAGAAAAAGATTCGGTGAAAGAGACAGAAAGAGAAGAATGGGTAAGGCATGGAAAGAGAGATGGGTTTGAACGCATAGAAAGGGGTAGAGAAAGAGGGAATATATATATATATATATATATATATATATATATTGAGTGTTGATATACATGTATTTCTCATCAGTAGCACAACTCGGAGATTCATGCACAACGCAAACTTCAGGTGTCTCAATTCAGCACCTGAAGTTTGCGTTGTGCATGAAACTCCGGGTTGTGCTATCGGTGAAGAATATATATATATATATATATATATATATATATATATATATATATGAGAGAGAGAGAGAGAGAGTAGAGGGGGTAAGAAGAAGAACGTATACCATTGGAGGAAAAAATAAAGAGAGAGGGAGAGAGGGTGATAGAAAGAAAGAGATGGGGACGGATATATAGAGAAAAGCATAGAAATATAAAAGAAGACAGTGAATTCAAATGAAAAGTTAAATGGTTATTAATTTTTGAATAAACCTTCTTTCATTTTATTTTGTTCTTGTAGACGCAACGTGCAGATCGTTTTTACATTCTACGACCATTAAGCGAACAAAATGTCTCGGAAATATTTAATAAGTAAGATTTTATTCAGCATCTCATATTCTTGGATGCTTCTCTGACTGGGGTCACGTCTTATCAGTTTTTTTCCTTTACACCATTTTATCTCATGGTTGTTAGCAAAAGGGGCAGCCTACCATGCAAATTACAGATATCGAAATTAAACAGATCTAAAAAATTTAGATCTGGGAAGCCTACTAATTGAGGACGGAAAATGAGACACTGAAATCCGAAGGTGCATTGTGATTGCGTAAGATGCCTTCCAAAAGCCGAGCAAAGTATTAAAAAACAGAAACATATTGTTAGAAAAAAAAAAAAGAAAAAAGAATTACTGAACTGCTATGTAGTATCATTCCTCCCCTGTGGCAGCGAATGCTGGACAATGTCCTCGCAGAAACAACATATATGTGTTTCTATATTGAGAATACCATGGATCGACCATATGGCCAATGAGGAAGTTCTAGAGACAATGATAACAAAAAGGTCACTTACGCTTAAGACTTTTATCACTAAACAATTATTTTCGAAAAAATGTTTGTATAGTCATATACGTCATAGGGGCACTCTGTATTATGTTTTCCTTAGGAAAGGCATGAATATGAGTCTCCCTATTGTCTGTCATCTTGACCATTGTTTCAACATGATGTACTTACTTGTCTAATCAGTATTAGCAAATTAGCCATATCAAGGGTGAGTTTGAAACAAGTGATTATATGAATTTTAGGTGTGTGTGTGTGTGTGTGTGTGTGTGTGTGTGTGCGTGCGTGTGCGTGTAGACAATTAAAGAAGAAGCATACACAGATTGGGTTTCTACTACGGACTGTTTATTACATTATTTACATTATTCAGATTGTTATCCTCATCTTCATTGCCGTATTCACAACGTTTCGGCCGTTGTACGCTCCGGCCTTCTTCAGGTGATTGGAATTTCGAATCGAACCCTTTATTTCGTCCCCCGGAGTCAATTGTTTTAGTTCCTTATGCCATGCCTCTTCCAGATGTCTCAGCCATTTTCCTTTAACTCAACTCTCCAAGTTTTGTTTCACCACTGCTGTGGCCTGGTATTGAACTCACTAGATCTAACCAACGCCTTTATCCGATGGACCATGTGTCCTTGTAGATAACAGTAAGAATAATGTAAATAATGTAAGTCATCATAATACCTCATTTCAGAGATATAGACAGATATTGAGAGACTGTTTATTCTTTTATTTTTTAATAAAAACTATAGAGAAACAAAGATCTCAATGTGTTTTGGGTACGTCCGTTAGGTCAAGTAAGGATAAACGTCGATGTAATGGTGGAGTTCAAGTCAGCCTTGCGCTGAGTTGTAATGACCAAAGTAAAAGTTTGATTTACTTTATGGATGGAGGTTTTGGAAGACACGAGCAAACACTATGTGTTGGAAAGTGGAAAGAGATTTCAGTCGCTAGTGGACCGGAGAAACGAGATGCTTCTCAGCAGTAAGATCATTTCCCCAATTGTTGCTGCATCTTGGAGCAAGAGAGAAAAAGAGGAAGATGAATTAAATATTTGTCTTTTTATATACTTAAACAGCGCCATCTAATGGGGGTAATAAAATGCCCGGTTCCTTTATTACTTCTTATGGCTGGCCACTCGTATCCGAGCATGCCTGTCTACTAGGGAGACTAGCCAATCCCTACTGCAGACAACTGCTCAGGCACATTTGTGTTTCTTCTCCCATACAGCCCAACTGTGGTTTATGCAGCAAGTATGCTGAGCAGACATTAGTACAGTTTTTGGGAGATAGCGTATTATCTGGTGGGATTAACAGCTTGAACAACTCTGCTGAGCAGACCTTAGTACAGTTTTTGGGAGATAACGTATTATCTGGTTGGATTAACAGCCTGAACAACTATGCTGAGCAGACAGTTTTTAGTATTATCTGGTTGGATTTTTGGGAGATAGCGTACAGTTTTTTATCTGGTTGGATTAACAGCCTGAACAACTATGCTGAGCAGACCTTAGTACAGTTTTTGGGAGATAGCGTATTATCTGGTTGGATTAACAGCCTGAACAACTATGCTGAGCAGACCTTAGTACAGTTTTTGGGAGATAGCGTATTATCTGGTGGGATTAACAGCTTGAACAACTATGCTGAGCAGACCTTAGTACAGATTTTGGGAGATAGCGTATTATCTGGTTGGATTAACAGCCTGAACAACTATGCTGAGCAGACCTTAGTACAGTTTTTGGGATATAGCGTATTATCTGGTGGGATTAACAGCTTGAACAACTATGCTGAGCAGACCTTAGTACAGTTTTTGGGATATAGCGTATTATCTGGTGTGATCAACAGCCTGAACAAGGACAGTACGCTCAAAAACCCTCGATCACGATGATTTGTGACAACTCTCGACGGCTCTGAAATAGTTTTGTCTACCCAATTACGCCCACAAAACTTGGGTTAAACTGTGGCATGCTTCTCAGGCAGTTTCCGAATGTAAGAAGCGTCTCACCCAGACCCATAATATCAAGAAGTTGCTTTTCAGACCAGTCGACCATGGTGAGATTCGAACCCGGCTCGGAAAGCGAATGTTCTAACCATTCAGTCACGTGCCCATATAACTTTATTACTAAGCATCATGTGAAATGTATTTATTTTTCTTTTTTTAATTAGTATTAATATTTTATTTATTGATTTTATTTCATTTTCCCACAATTATCCCTACATGTGTAAATCAGTACAAAAACATTTATTCATTGTCACCTGTTTGAATATAATAAAGCTTGTAGAGATATTTTGAATGAATAAATGGGCAAACTACAAAACATAGTCATATTCAGAGAGCACATGGTGAGGAATATGCTCCATAGGGATTGCTTCTGTAACGAAACGTTTAATCACTTCACTGTGATGAATTCTTAAAGCAAACAGCTTTATAAAATAAATGTCTTCAAAGAACTGTCCATGAAAATAAACAGGAAAAGTTTGCCTTTTAGTTTAAAGTTTGATAGAGTTTTGACGCCCACGAAACAATCCACAGGTCAGGCTGCATAGTAAATAAATATGAAAGAACTGGTTAAGCCAAAATCGTTTGATGATTCAAATCGAAAATGTTTTTTTTTTTCGACTGCATTTCATTTCTTTTTTGTTATTTTCTTTTACACTGCTGTTTTTGGTGCTCTGTTGAATTGGTCGATACACGCAGCGTGTTGCCGAGTGATAAGAAAAAAATACCAATGAGTAAGAGAGTAAGTTAATCTTCCTGGGAAACGAAAAGAGTTCCGTTTGGACCGAAGATGAGAGAAGACAACGAAGGGGGCCAACTTTATTATGGTAAAGTGATTTAAATAGCAATTGATTAATCATTATATTTTTGATCTAAAACTAACTAGACTTCTTTATATTTTGTATGCCTTCTCTTCTAAAAAAATATTGAGAGACAACAAAAATGCAATATCCACATGCTTGACAGCAAAATAAACATTCCCGAATTGCTTGGAAGTCAATGCATAACTTTCCCAAATGTTTAAAAATGGCGCCTCATATTTTCTAGCAAACTGCAGAGAAACGTACATATACATTCACTTATATATATATATATATATATATATATATATATATATATATATATATATATATATATATATATATATATAGTGAATATTGATAATATCCAACGTAGATGGAAAGATTCGGAATTTCATGCAGTCTTGCAATCTTCAGGTGCGGAGCAATTTCTCCGCATCTGAAGATTGCAAGACAGCATGAAACTCCGAGTCGTATTATTGACGTTGGATATTATGTATATTCACTAATATATATATATATATATATATATTCGTGTCAGTCAGTTGCTGGCTCTCACGCTGGCCAATAGAATCTTCCTGCTTATTCGTGGCAGCCAGCTATAGGCTCTCACTCTGGCCTGTAGAAAATGGCCGCAAACTACATGAAAACTGCCGTAGAAGCATGAAAAAATCGATTATTTCCACTATCGATGGGAGTTGAGAAATGCAAAGTCGGTCTTGGCCTTCCCACTAAATTGGAGCATGTGCATGTAAATTTTGGTGCAAATCCGTCGAAAATTGAGGCCGTGCATTCGTCACACACACACACACACACACACACACACACACACACACACACACACACACACACACGCACACACACATACACGCATCTTGCCTTATATATATATATATATATATATATATATATATATATATATATATATATTCTTAGCCTAATGATTAAACTTGTCTTTGTGTTAAATAAGCATTTATTTTGAAGAATATTTTTCTTGCCAATCCATCGAATCATTTCTTTGCTCAACAATTTATAACTACGTTTTTGAATAAAAAATTCAGTCAATACATGTCGGACTTCAGACTTATTCCTGGATAGTCGTATACTTAATGAGGAAGCGTAGGAAATCATAATTCATAACACCCTGAATAATAATATATTATTACTACAGTAAATATAACAGATTTCTT